AAGAGGGGCGAAATTAAGATACCAGAGAGACAATCAAAAGTATTCAGGTAAAACTCTATTTTGATTCGACATACTTGTCACCAACTGGGACTATTATACTATTAGTATAATAGTCCCAGTCACCAAGTAGATCTAAAAATAAACTGAGAACGCCTTAGCTAAAAAAGAAAAAGACAAACAGACAAATTGGAATTTTTAATCCGAAAGTATACATGCTTCCTTTATTTTTGTGACATTTTCGACATGTTGTCATTAAAAGAAGTTTCGTTGATGTGATTGTTATCAGTTACACAATACAAACCCTTCATCACTCTGTATGTCAAGATTTAGAATCCTGTAATTCAGTGTTTGTGTTATTGTATAAATATCATATTTTGTTTTTGTTTATACGTACATCAGGCCGTTAGTTTTTCTCGTTTAAATTGTTTTACATTTGTTATTTTGCGGCCTTAAAAGCTATCTATGCAGTATGGGTTTGCACTTCGAAAAGTCCATACAGTCACTTTTGATTATTATCTTCTACGTCATTTGGTCTCAAGTGTTGTCTCATTGGCAATCATACCGCATCTTCTTATTTTTACATTAGTACAAATTCCGTGTTATGATGTCACAGAGTTATCAGAATCGATAAAATACATGATGGAACATTTGTAAATGATTTGAACAGCCTTACCGGTAATAAATAATAACATTTCGAGGTATATTTTTGCCATGGTTGCTGTTTAAGCCCTGCATGTCAAGTGGTTCAGAGAATATTTTCTGAAAGTTAATTGTCTATCAGGTTTTCTGTAGGTTTCAACTTAATTCTCATCTAAATTATTTACAACAGAAAGAACAGATATTTTAGCGTGCATAGATCTGAATTCTTACAGGTTTACATGCTGGAATTCTTTCTTTAACTGACCAAACCTTTCTCTGGTATTACATGGCCTTGATAATATTTCATAGTTTTTTTGTGGCTTAAGACACAAATTTGTGTCTAATGTATAAATTATGAAAGTTAGTTAAATAGAAAAAAGTTTCAGAGTCAATGGACCATAACTGATGGGGCCGGCCAAATTATCTCCATGGAAGTACATGAGATGGGAGCTGCATACCACATATCATGGACATACCATTAGTGGTTCCACTTCAACTGACATTTCCTGTTTATAGCATACCTAAGTCTCAAATCTAATCTCTTGTCGAGGAGAGATAAAAACTGTTTTTTTCTGTAATGATGTGCAATAGAGTTATAATGAATAAACATAAATTAAACAAACAGACACAGTTTTTTGGAATTTTTTATGCATGTGTATATACAATATCTTTCTACATATAAATTACGAATTATCAAAATCACCTTTGAGCATTACTCAAATCAGGTTAGGGCTATTACAGAAAAAAAAATATGGGTGTTAGAATGCTTTAAATTATTTTTGTATGGGTTACAAAGTTCAAATTGTTTGCAAAGTTAAATGCAGTTGTGTTGGTGATGGCCATAGAAAAAAATAGGGAATGTGTTCATTGGACACAGATGATACCACTGTTTGCATATTATATAAAGGGACATGAGTATTGTGTATAAGTTTCATAAAATTTGGTTGAGATGACTTAAGTTGGAGAACAGAAACAAAAACATTTGTATAGAGGCATCACTCTACAAAAAAAAATTGGTACACTCCCAAAATTCAAACTTGATCAGTACTTTGTTGAATAAGCATTGTCTATAAGTTTTATAACATTTGGTTGTAGTAAACTTATGTTGGATTACAGAAACGAAAACAAAATCAGCATTTTTTCCAGTTGTAAAGGGACATAACTCTAGAACGATTAAAGTGACACCACCAAAATTCAAACTTGATCTGTGTGTTGTGTTAACTAGCGTTGTGTATAAGTGTCATAACATTTGGTTGAGGCAAACTAAAGTAAGATAACGGACAGTTTTGAACCAACTTTGGGACGTACAGACTTATATACAGACATACTGACGTACAGACAGACAAAGGTAAAATGTAATGCCCCCTCTGCTACAGCAGGGGCATATCGATGCCTTCTGACATCACCACTCTTCTCAACATCATAGAGTTAATATCTATAATTTCTCAATAAATCAAACAACTTTTTTATCCTACATATGTAATTTTACATGATTTAGCAATATGATTGGATGTACTTTAATTGCCTGTAAAATGATAAGATAAAGAGATAAAGCTTGTATCAGCAACATTATCATATCTTTTAAAAGTGCAGGATTAATCAGTCATGTCACAATGAGAGAGAACTTATCAAGAATATCTGGTAAGGCAATAAAGATTAGATAAAGGGCTGTGATTAATGCATCATAATTCATGCTTAACATATCACCAAGGAAAATTTAAATACTTAAATCATTTATGAATAAGCACTGGCTATTTAGGGAAAAAAATTCATAGGAATAAAGTGGAAATTTTGGCCTTTTGAATGGAGATACCCAATAAAGTCTAGCACAAATATAAATGTCCAGAATTTTCACATGGTATACAAAGAAAAAATTCCAATTTCAAATACTTAGGGTTGACCCCTGTATAGACAACTTTTGACTCATAAACCATAAATGTTATATTAAAACTGTCATATATATCACAATGGAAATTATACAAAGAATACAAAGAAAAAAGGCTTTCCATCATACTTTTTAATAAAATGTTGTATTGCAATAAAGTGATTAACCTGTTTTGAGCCCCTTTTTTGAGGGTCTAGAACAGGCTTTTTTTTATGGTCTTAAACATTGTTATAGTAAAAAAATTCTCATGTTCTGGTTCATAATAACTGAATATTTACACAGTGTCTACAGATATTCAACAACACCATCACACCATTATACCATTATACAAATCAATACAAAATAAGTTTTTGTTTTGCCTTTCAGATCATTGACTGCACTCACTGCTGATATTTTACAATATGGTTGTGTTCAAAACCAGATATCTTTACATATATTGATTTATTGTACATTAAAATTTTCACGAAATTTCTTATGCAAATCTTGTAAAATGCCAAAATGCAAAAGGTTTGATATTGTTATTTTTAGTTTTAGAAATTAAATTTACCAGATACTCATGTACACTGATAAATAAACTTTAATAAGAAATATACTAAACAAGGAAGCAAATGGCTCAATCTATGAGATAGCAATGCTCAGTTAGTGGTACACTTTGGTATTTTTATCAAATTCTAATACAGTTATAGCTTTCATTTAGATTGTAATCAGTATAAATAGATTTTAAAAAAATCTCTGTATGCTTCTTAATTACATTTAAGACCTTACTTCCATGAGTACTATCAGTAAAATTGAACAAAATCATCTCCGTTTTCCTTCTTGAATTTAATATATTTCTTAACAATATCAAGAAACAATCATGCTAAGCAGAAAACAAGCTATTATATGAAGATAATCTAATTATTTAACTAGAGGCTCCAAGGAGCCTGTGTCGTTCACCTGAATTTTTTGTTACAATTGATGCATAAAATAATGCAACCATTATACTTTTGCTTAAGTTTCAGAGCTATAAGCCAAGAACTCATTTTACCATTACATGTATGTTCTGTTTTTAACCATGTCAGGCATGTTGGTGAGCAGGCAGGGTAATCGGACACAATTTTAAACTAGATACCCTCTTCATGATTGTGGCCAAGGTTGATTAAATTTGTCTTAGAAGTTTCAGAGTTATAAGCCAAAAACTGCATTTTACCTATATGTTCTATTTTCAGGAAAAAGATTTTTGTAAAATATGACAAAAATTTACAAATAATTGGTAAAAATTGACTATTTAGGGCAATAACTCCTTAAGGAGTCAATTGATAATTTTGGTAAGTTGACTTATTTGTAGATCTTACTCTGCTGAATATTATTGGGTTTACAGTTTATTTCTATATATAAAAATATTCAAGATAACTAAAACCACCAAAATTTTCTTAAAATTAATATTTCAAGTGCAGCGTTACCCAACTACTGGTTGACTGATTTTAAACCTGATGAACATTTGTACCCATGTCAAATTTACTCTAAATGCTTTAGTTTGAGAGATATAAGCAAAAAACAGGTATTTTACGTTCTATTTTTAGTCATGGCAGCCATGTTGGTTAGCAGGCAGGGTAGTCCAACAAATTTTAAACTAGACACCCTTACATTTTGTATAATGATTGTGGTCAAATTTGGTTAAATTGGCCCAGTAGTTTCTTTTGAAATTGCCCTTCAAAAATGACCATATTTTTTCCATTAAATTTATTCAAATTGTAAATGTATTCATTTTCAGATTATCTTAATGCCCATAAAAAATTGAAATAAACTTAATTTTCTTATCTATACATTTTTAAATCTATTAAGTGTTGATCATTTATAGCCTTGAAAATATTTTCAGTCCACTACAACAATAAATATTTTTTGTTTAACTACTATGGCTGAATGAATAGATTCTTTGAAGTCTGCCTTAATGTAGCATCATTTATTGCTTGATACAAAATTTAAAAAAATAGAATAAGAGTGTGTCTTAAAATATGAAGGTATCCACCCAAACTTTCCAATTTTCAAAGTTAAAAAGGGGCATAACTCAAGAATGGTAAATGACTCACAACCTATATTTGAATTTTGTCTACCTGTCGTGGTTCTTAGCATTTTGTTTGAGTTTCATAAAACTTGGATCAGGAAAACTTTAGATTGCAAGAAAAAAATATTGCAATTTTCCATGTTATAAAGGGGCATAATTCTAGAAAGGTTATTGACGTACTGCTGAATTAGACCTTGTCTGCGAGTGAGTTTTTATTTAGAGTTGTGTAGGAGTTTAATTAAATTTCTATAAGTCATACTTAATTTAAAGTGCAGAGACGAAAATGGGATGGTCAGACAGTAAAGGGTAACTCTTAATGCCCCTATTGCCTATGTCTACAGGAAAAGGGGGGAAGAGCATACAAATGATGAAAACAATAATTTGCTTAAAATTCTTGATGTCCTAATTTAAAACCAGAAAATATTATAAAAAAACAATTTTGTATCAGTTGGTTATAAACTGAAAAGATGAGTTTTTTTGGTATTATTTCAAATTCATATTATGAACACAATCATGTAGAATTGTTATAGATCTGTATTTGACATTAGAGTTTTTTGTTTGTTTGAAGAATGCATTTAAAAGTTATTTTGATGACCACAAGTATATTCTATGGTAAATTTTCCTTTATTTTTGACTTATTTACAATTCCAGTAGTATGACTGACGGAAAAATATATTTGACTAAATTTTATTCACCTAAAGTATTGATGTTTTCAGAAAATTTATGGAAAAAGGTAGCCAATAATCCGGTTTTTCATTTATTAAGAATGGTGGTATTATTTTTTTCTGAATATAAAAGATATTACATTTTTCCTGTGATTTCTTTGTTTGGTATAATAATTAGTTGATTTTGGAATTATAATAGTGCTTTAAAGACTTGTTATATTTTATTAAAGACATACATTTCCAGAGGTGATTATTACCAGTAGTGTCTGTGACCTGAGCACTTGCCTAACCAAATACAAATTAGAATGTAAAATTAAAATGTAAAACATTTCCAGTAGTTTTTTCACTTACCAAATAAGTTTTATAAAAATCGAATATTATTAATTAAGGATAACAATTCTTTTTCAATTGTGCTGATCTCTATTTCTTACCCCAGGTGCAAACTTGGACTGTTCCCTTTATTGTGTTTAACATGAACATATAGCTTAACTATATAGTATGCCCTTAAATCAGGAATTAAATTGTTTATAATTAAAATGAATTTTAAATCTGTTAATAAGATAGACACCATGTTTATAATTATGACGAAATTGTCTAATAGATTGGTTTGTAACCATGGAACAGCATCCACCATTTCTACAATCATGAGATACAAACAAAGAGCCCTCAATGATATTGTAAGGCAAGCTTTTTCTTCTTGTGGTGAGTGTAAGGCTCTTGCAATGGAATAAGGGATCTTCCTGGTGAGGTATCATCAACAAAACAGTAACATCTGAACTGGTTTTGCAGTCAATTTTACCATAATTAATCTGAAAAAGAACATTTTAAAGATACTTTATCTTTCAAAAAAATAACAACTTTAAATTTGAATTGTTTGCATAATTTATGATATTTTGCATCTTTTACAACAATTGATTAAGGTAGACGTAAAAACTTTTAGATTCCAACCAATAAAAATCCATAAAAAAAAAATCTTTATAAGCATTTATTAATATATCTCTACCCCTTGGTATCAGTTTATTGTTTAAATTCTAAAAATGAACAATGAACTTATCAAAAGGAAAAATTTTCATTATTGAGTGATTTATCTGGGGAAATACATTATAGGTGTGTAACATCTGATTTTTGTTTTTGTTTTATATCACTCGGAGATACACAGATTAGTTGTTAAACAGACATGTTTATGTAATAATTTTTGATATTAACTTAGTGTTTTGATCTTAAATTGAACATGTTCATATCTCTAATATGGCAATCATTAGCTTGGAACTATTGGACAATGAACAAGCTCCAGGGTTTAATGGTATTCATCCTCATATTGTATTATTTCATACTGCACTCATTCTATTTGAGCAGTCAAAATGCGTTGACTGTATATTTCTTTGTCACATACCGTAACTGACCTTATATCACTTTTCCTCATAAATATTTACCTCTTCAACCTGTTCTTGTTTCCAATGTTACAATGATGAGTGGAACGACTCAAACTTAATTATTTCTTTTACATATTTTGGAAAAACATATTTCATTTGTTAATAATATTTGTTTGAAATCTATAAATGATTTATGTATAGTTGATAATTTAGTCCATACTCAAACAGATTTGTTCACCATCGATTGAGGGTTTCAACAGGTAATGTACAGTTCACTGTGTTGTATATTTCTCCGCCTGATATGAGGCCTTTTAAAGGGCGATTTTTCACAATATTTGATTCAAATAAATAATATTAACACATTAAACAACAATTGAAAATGTTTTTTTCTAGATTGCAGAGCCTCGCATTTCCCTGTTTCTAAGCCTCATCCTTATATCGTTGAAATGTCAAGTCAATGCACTATTATTGTCTATCTATCATGATAAAAGCATGTGAGAAAATCACAGTGAACAAACTTGTCTGGAATAAAAAAAATGGCATACTTACATGGTCATCTAATTTAAAATAAACAATTTCTCCAATGTTTAATTTACTTCCATCCTTCCTTTTCATGTTTCTGATTTCGTCTCCTACATTTCTTTTCACTCCTATAATTTGTTCTAATAAAAATTGTAAAATGTCAATTTATTTAAGAAGACAATAATACATTTAAGTGATATCTGCTAAATTATTTAAGAATTCAGTTTTATTGTATAGAAAATGGTGTTAAGTGTTTCAAGAACAGCTGAACATATATTTCCTTACATTCTTCCTTTTTAACTTATTTATTGACTCATTAAAATACTAGACTTTGACTTCTAATGATTTGACTTTTAATTGTTTAACATTACAGGTGCCATTAGTTAAGGAGAATAGGCTTACAATTCTATAGCATCTGATTTCAACTCCCAGTTTCTTGTGGGAAGTCATAATGCCTAAAACTTTAGCTTTCAGTGTTTTGGTTTATAAATTTATCCTGCAATTAGGTGTCTTATCATACATTAACAGCCCAACAGATATCAACAGGGTGTTCTGTTGTGCAGTTGCAGAGGAGCTGCGATGACAAACTGTTGCAGAAGTATATTGAGGCAAATAAGTTCAAAGGGGCATTACTCCTAGAAAAAAAAATTGAATCAATTTCTTGTCAATATGCACACCTTCAAAGTATGTCTTTATTATCTACCAGTTTCATGAAATTCTGGTGTGTGGTTTAGAGGAGTTGCGATGACAAGAACAGGACTAATAGACTGACAGAAGGACAGACAACGGGTCAAAAACATGATACCCTCTGCAACTTCATTCAAAGCTTGTAGCAACTTTAAAAAAAAATTATTGTATCCAAAATTAAAATCCTACCATCTTCTTTCTGTGTCCTATTTCCCATTACAAAAGTTTGAATCCGTGGATGATTTATCTCTTCAATTGTCTGTTGTGCAGGTTGAACTCTGTAAAAAATATATTACTTTTAGTTCCCCTGTATTAACTCGATCAATTCACTCACAAACAAATAAAAGTCCGAAGTTTGTGAGTGACTTGGTCCAGTTTCTACACCAATAAATTCCTTTAAAAGGTGTTTACTCCTTATTATAAGTTATATGGTTTGCTACTGACCCCTACCGATCCATAGAGGGTTAGTAAAATACATAGGGTGTGAGGCCGTAGGCCTAATCCCCTATGGATTTTATTCACCCTCTATGGTCCGTAGGGGGTCAATAGTTAACCGTATAACGAATTTATCGTTCGCTGGACTTTTTCTGCGGCATTTTACTGAAAAATAAACAATGAAACACAACAACAGTAATAGATGACGTCACCATAAACAGTAGATGTGACGTCATGAACCCCCTATGAAATTTACTAACCCCCTACGGATCCATAGGGGGTCACCACGTGACGGCTTTAAACCAATCAAAACGTGATAATTTACCCGCCGTGCGATAAAATTCTTTAGAATTGGAGATAAGGAATACATTTAACCATACTCATAACCCATATCACACGTAAATTGTATTTTTGTGAACTTGAATAAGCCTAGCGCAAGAATATATATGTTGGTTAACTAAAATATATGTACTTCGTGAATTTGCTATCTGATAAAGAATAAACTACAAAAACTCTTATTATCATTCAAAAAAATGTTGTGTGTTTATTTTTTGATTTAACGATTAATGCTAAGTGAAAAAAGATTTTGTTAACCTCGGTCCAGATTGTGTTATCATTGCCACCATCTTGTTTACATTGGTTATGAAAAGAAGTTAGGTCAATGTCGTCTATCGGGGAAAAAAAACAACATTAAGAACAGCTACACGAAGTTTTCTCGACTAATCATATCAATGTATTCCCAAATATGCAAATCATATAAGAATTATCACATGATAAATGCTGTCCTATACCTTTTCCCATTTGAAAACCATGTCCCACTGTCAATGATATGGCAAACTTCCTCAACATGAGCTAACTTCAAAGCTGTGTCTTTGTTGGCATTGTGGTGGTTTGTAATGCTCTGAAAATGTTTGACTATACCACACCAGCTTTCCCCTGTCTCTAAAATAAAAAAAATAATTATACAATTGTAGGTAAATTGAAAAATATGTCAAATTAATAAGTTGCATTATATAACATTCAGTTCTTAACTTTTACAATTCTGTGTGGTCTGAGTTGTCTTTTTGTCTCTTCATCTTGAACATGTCTTTCAACAATTCCGGATATTTTTTTTTACTTTTCTCAATTTTGAATTTTTTCAATTTGAAAATCGTTTTAACAATTACTTGACTACATGCTTTTATATGCTGGATTATCAATCCTGTTAAAATTCAACAAAATTGTAGTTTGTTTTAAAAAAAAATCAACTGATAAATTAGTACTAAAAAATCCAAACATCTTGAATAGCAAATTAACAAATAATCAACAGCTAGGTGTATAAAAATAACATTTATTTACTTTTACCAGTAGTATAACCTATAGGGACCCCATGAAGTCTGATTTGTTGCTCAGTATGAAGATTATGGTGTATTTTCTGTTTTTTCAATGTTTCTGGAAACTGCTTGTAAATGTTTTCATTAAATTGGTACTGCAGATCACCTAGCCTAGTGAGTTCCGATTCCAGCAATTTCATTTTGTTACTCAACTGAACAATCTGAAAATATAAATATAATAATAATTACTAATGAACCACAAACCCAGTGCTGACATGAATATTAATTATATGGTCATATGTTTAAATTAATTGTATGAAAAAGTATGAATTATTTGAAATACGAAGTATTTTCTTATCCCAGGCATAGATTACCTTAACCGTATTTGCCACAACTTTTTAGAATTTTGGGTCCTCAATGCTCTTTAGCTTTGTACTTGTTTGGCTTTTTACTTATTTTGGTCTGAGCATTACTGATGAGTCTAATTTGCTCTAAATGCTTTGGTTTCAGAGATATAAGCCAAAATCTACATTTTACCCCTATGTTCTATTTTTAGCCATGGCGACCATCTTGGTTGGTTGGCCGGGTCATCGGACACATTTTTTTAAATTAGATACCCCAAGGATGATTGTGGACAAGTTTGGTTCAATTTGGCCCAATAGTTTCCGAGGAAAAGATTTTTGTAAAAGTTAAGACAACGGACGACAGATGCCAAGTGATGAGAAGAAAGGTCACTTGGCCCATTGAGCCAGGTGAGATTAAAACACATTACTATAACACCAGAGACCATAATTCTGTAACTTTTAGAACCAGAACTAAATGCAAAACTTTAAATCAAATATAAAATCAGTATCTTTAAGCACGAAAAAAAAAGTATGGAAAGCTCATACATAGGTTATTTAAATAATAATTTGTGTCACAGTAAGTACTCATTGAAATAGTAAATTATGTGTTAAGCAAACATCAAACTTTACTGTATACTGCATAACTAAACTATTGTTTAGCAACAAACACCAAGAGATGATATGCTAGTTTTCATATGTAATGTATACCTATAAGGGTTTACTTTTATAAATTATTACTTGGATAGAGAGTTAAATTATTGTCTCATTGGCACTCATACCACATCTTCCTATATCTATCTACAAAGAAAACTAGGCCAATAAGTGCCTAATTTTCTGGCAAGAAGTAAATAAACAATATAAGGTCAATGTCAGAAAAATATAAACTTTTTTGTATGAGGCTGAGAAACTGGGGAAGGGTGCAACTTAAACTAATACAATGATAGCTTTTTAAATTGTAACACAAATGTCCAACTTATTTTCATCACTTAATGAACCACTGATTGTGGAGAAAGTGTTCCATGATGAAATTGACATTGCACAAACTATAGCTGTGTTACTTTATTTAAGAAATAAACACAACTAGTTGCAGTATAAATGAGAATATTTTCCTAAGAATGCTTCCTTTTGCTTATGTAATATAAAACAATTTATAGGCGTATTTGTTACAGAAAAACTGGTTTTAGTTTTAGGTTTTGATTTAAAACTGGTTTGGTTTGGTTTTAGGTTAGGTTTCAAAACTGGTTTTGGTTTAGATATTTTTCAACAAATGTAAAGTTTATCTAAAAAAAATGATGTCAAAACAACTTGTTTCTAGACCAATCGGAGAATGGAGCCTTTTTTTTTTAATTTCACAATGAGTTGTGCTTATCTTAATGCAACAACATATAAACAAAATATCACTGACCTAGAAATGAAGTCTTAATCACAAATTTTAATAATTTTAACAATTTCATTAGCTCTTGTTCTCATAGGCTATTTAAATTTACTTCACAGTTTTTAATTATAGTAAGGTTTACAATTTTTTTTATCGGATTGTTATCTCATAAACATTTATTCGTCATCTCAGTATTTTCCAATTCACAACAAATAAAAATTAACAATTTAAAACGTTTTTTAACTGCCAATTTATACAAGATGACAACTGTCCGACTAGAAAAAAATAGCAATAACAGTAACAAATAAATAAAAACGCTGTGTAGATAAAAAAAACACCAAACACAAAAAGGTTATACATTAGTATTGAAAATCCATTAAAAAAATCAATTTGACCATAGAATCTGTATACATTTTTTCGCGACCACTACACTGCATCAACATTGCCGCCATTTTAAATCCTAAACCGAAACCACAAACCACCCATGAACGTGGTTTGAATAGTTTCTGGAACCAGTTTCGGTTTAAGAATAACAAATGGCAAACCAGTTTAGGTTCGAAACTAGTTTCAAACTGGTTCTCATTAACAAATGGAAAGTTTATCAAACTAAAACTGGTTTTGCACTAACAAATACGCCAAAAATAGTTATGATACATGTAAGATAGTTGAACCTGTTAGTTTTACCTACCTCAGACAATAGACACCAAAGTTTTACTATTTCTTTACTAAATCCTGCGTGATGAACTGTAAAGGGTGCAAGTTGTACCTAGATTTAGAAATAAAAATGCTCTATATTAAATATACATTTATGCAGTATTTTTATTATTTCAAACAGATACTGCATATGGTGACACTATTTTACTTGTTGATCGATTAGTTAAAATAGTTACAGATTACAATATGTCTATATAGTTTTAATCATTGGATTAAAAACAAGAGATATTTATAGATTATCGTTGATCACCTCAAGAGATTGATTTTCTTGCTTCAGCTGGACGGGGAAAGTAAGATAAGCAATTGAGTTGAGATGACCAATAATAATCTCTTTATCGCTATTTAGCCTATGAAGATGTTGTTAATTTCCTGGACAACAGCACATGTTCCCTTAATTTCTAGCCATAATTTTCATCACTCAACTCTATTTTCATATCACTGACGACTCCGCTGAGAAAGGAAATTATCAGTCAACAAGATCAAAGGAAAATTCGTAAAATAGCAATAACAGTATATATTCTGGAAAACTGGAAAAAGCAAGGGTATATCAGATGGTTTTTTTAACCCTAATTGGAACCTCAACGTACATTAATTGTTACTATGATACAGTTCCAAATGTGTAAGATGTTATTTGCCATAGGTTTCATGGATAGATGCAAAGTGATGATTATGACAGTCACAATATTTTACATGGTCTGTTTCTGGATTCAACTGCAATTTCCCATGCATTGCTAAGTAATAAGTAACACTCAATTGAAATCACCAATCCACAACTGATTCCAGATTTCTATATAAAACATATAATTCTTTAATGGATTCAGCAATTTAATGAGTTGGCACTTACAAATGACCTGAAGTCTTTCCCTTGGCTTGATTTGTGATATTTCACAAAGTTTTCTCCACATTTGTGATGAAAGCCCTTCCAGTCAGCTGCATTTAACGTTAGCTGTAAAGTTTCCTGTAAGAAAGAACCAGAAGTATTAAAAGAACCAGAATTATCTTCAACTATCCTTAGCCAGCAACAAAACGGTTTTGATTATGCAATCTTTACCAAAAATGTTTTATCAAAGATTGATCTTAAAGTGTGCTGTGATACAAAACACTTCATAAATTTAAATACAATGTATAAACTGGCTTTTTATCAGCTGGAATTCACAACTGTATTCTACAATTTTCCAATAATAGAGACAATTACTCAGGATCCATTAAAAGTAAAGGGAATACATATTGTAAATTCGCCTTTTCAGAATCTAGAGGACTATGGGTAATCTCATTGTTCGTACACCAAAATGAAAATAAATTTACGTCATTGGTTGCATTTCTATTGTTTATCACGTTCTAAACCAATCACAACTTTTTGGTGTACGCTATTGTAAATATTACCCTGAATGCATTAGATTCTAAAACGGTATTGAACTTATTCTAACATTTGCATAGCTCAGTCCAAAAGTCTCAATGGTTAAGTTCAAATATGTATTTCATATTTCATAATTTGTTTCTTTAATGGACAATAGTATATGTCAATTTGATTTCAATGTATGTTCAGTAAATACTAATTAATAAATATAAATATGAAGATGTGGTATGATTGCCAATGAGACAACTCTACGCAAGAGACCAAATGACACAAAAATAAACAACTATAGGTCACTGTACGGCCTTCAACAATGAGTAAAGCCTATATATATACACATTAACTTATGATCAATAATCATTAAAATTTAGTTAATTTTTACATTTATAATTTATAACTTGCTTTCATAAATGTAAGTTGCAGATGTGTCAGTATGATAACATGTTTTCCATATGAAAGAATTTAACAACATTATGTGCCATTATGTGTTTGACCCAATAGAAATAATAAACATTTGATGCTTCAAAAAATTGTGGTTATAATGCACCAATAGATACCATAGCTTGGTGTTGAGATTAGGATTAAGAATTTGAATCACACTAATTAATTTTACTTAGAACATAGACCTGTGAAAAAAAAATTATATTGTAGGCATCCAAAAGAAATAAATCAGACTATTACATAAATAAATTTTATAGTATTTAAAAGAATGATTAGCATTAAAACAAAAGATATCAAGTCACAATTACCTTCTGCTGGTCAGTACAGTTGCCTAGCATACATTTTAATAGGATTGCAACTTCTCCTAAGTATATGCAATGAAGCATATCTGGAGGAATGTCCCTGAAATTATAATTAAAAAGAAAACAATAATTAAACAGTGCAGCTGGTTGTTTAGCTTTAGTAAAACTGTGGATTTCTTGATATCATATGTGATACCAATTGTAAGAATATTTTTATTGCAGTTTTATTATAAATTATTGATTAAATCAATAATGAATCTTGATTTAGGTGTAACAAATTTACAGAATACAAATATATATGGTTCTTAAATTAACTACCCTGCACCTGTACCTTATGATTTATTGTTAACATTACCGTAATCCACAACTTCTGTCTCAGAAAGTTAGACAAAGGGATAGTGATCCAGCGGCGGTGATGCCAACTAACTTTTTAAAAGCTTTATGATCTAAGAAGTTGGAAGACATGCATGTTTCATACTTTGTTTATGCCTCATGTTCATAAGCTTTTGCCTGTCATACGTCCATTGTCCTTAACCTCACTTTCATGGTTCAGTGATTATTTGAAAAAAAAAGTTCAGATTTTTTGTAATGTAAACAATTGGCAGAGCTCAGCATTCTCAACATTCCTGTGTATGTGTGGGCATCACAATATATATGAAGTGTGCATGTCCAAAGCTAAGTTTCAATTTTCAGTGCATGTAATTGTTTTTGCTTCTTGTATATATAACTATAAAATGATTATATAATATTGTAATTCTAATAATGCTTTCACACCATATATAATAATATATAATAAAGTCATGCATACCTGTGTGGATCCCAATGAGCAGCTTTGTTCATTTCTTCAGCCAATATTTTCTTTTTTATCCCAGTCATTGTTGATGTTTCTGTACTATTTTCAATCTCTTTTAGAATTTCCTCAGTTTTATTTTTTGTTCTTAATTCTCCAATAAGTAAGTGGTTATTTCGATACTGACAAAAAAAGGAACAAGATAAAATATATATGATTAATATTTAGTCATTGGGTTTTTGTAAAAAAAAAATGTTATCCAATTCAAGACCATCAAATATAGGACCTGAATAAATTAGCAGACTGGGAACATTGATGGCTCATAAAGTTTAATGCAATTTTTATGTAACAATTTTTTTCATTGGCTAAAAGTTACCATCAAATCCACAGTTGACCAGGGGTAACTAAGGAGGGACCCGCCATTTTGAATTGATTGAATCAATAAATGTTCAATTACTAATATCATCGAAAATAAAACAACACCTACCTCGAATTCACTGTTTTAAAGTAATTTTATCCAAATTTGAATCGCAGAGGTAACGTAATAACCTCCAGTTTGTAAGTTTTCATTTGTATGACGTCACGTTTAGCCATGACATCTTCGCGCCAAAATCATTCATGAAGTTTCGCAGAATTTATTTTGTATGTCAAATTTATACATTTTTTCAAGCTTTATTGTATTATTTCTTTTTGTAATGTATTAGAATCGGAATAACAGTACTGTAGTTAAAGAGTTGCTACCGTTAATTTTGATTTGAAGGCCGCAAATCTCCGTTTTACTGTCTCCTCTACGCGTCACCAGTAAAACTACATTTGCGACCGTCAAATGGACAATTGAAGGTGGCAACTTTTCAACTACAGTACTGTTATTCCTTAAATGCAATGTCATTTCTATCAGCAAGAAATGATAATGATCAAATTCAAGGGGAGATAATAAATATTTAAACAGGTTGTTAATGCAAATCAGTCAGTTTCAGTGCTATTTTGTGAAATATCAAGAAAAGTTTTGACGTATATTTACAATTGGTAGAGCTAAACATTCTGAACATTTTTGCCCCTTTCAGATTTTCAATATTTATAACAGCTTCAAAATAATAAACAAAACTTGCTTTTTACCCTTATGTTCTATTTTCAGCCATGTAGGACATGTTGGTTGGCAGGTGGGGGTCATCAGACACATATCTTAAAACAAGACACCCTAATAATGATTGTTGCCAAGATAAGTTCAATTTGGCTAAATAGTTTCATAGAAGAATTTTGTGAAAGTTTAAGAACGATGGCAGAAATTACCAAGTGATGGCCATGAGGGCTAAAAGAGGATTTTAGTTTTTGGACAAGTAATCCAAAAGAGCTGTAAGCAGTGTTCATGAACTTTTGGGAACTGTTTATAGCTATTGACATGAATTTCATATTGTATAAGTCATAGATTTAAAACTGTGTCCTGTAGACCTAGCTTATTTCAACAGAAGAAAAAAAGAAAACAATTTATCATATGTCAATAAACCTTTATAATATTACACAGCAATGGAAAAAAGGAAACCTGAGACTATTGTTGACTCAGATACTATTTATCAGTGATAATATTTATCATTAATTGTCTTACCCTGCAAAATCTACAGTTTTCTTTAGCTGCAGCACCCATGTGGTGACAAAATTCTGAGGCCATACTGTTGTCCATTAACCCAACTGCTATTTGGGATGTTACAATAACATTTTTATTGTAAGCTGCACCATACATTACTTTTCCTTCACTAAAATTTAAATACATTGATCAAGTTTGGGATTTCATGTATTCTGATTTGACTCAAATTCTCATATTTGATTTATAACAATGTAAAATATTTATCCAAATTATAAAAATTCTAAAATAAACAATATAATAGCTCGATAATATGTAGCTTCGTTTCTTGTGTATTTTAGTCTAGATGCCATATAAATAACTGTCAATTGGACCACTGATAATAAGCGATATAAATCATAGCGCTATAGACAGTTAACCAAAAATCGATGCAAACAATTTGAAAGAACAAACATTAAGCATTCATTTACATGGATATAGGAAGATGTGGTATGAGTGCCAATGAGACAACTCTCCATCAAAATCACATTTTATAAAAGGAAACCATTATAGGTCAAGGTACGGTCTTCAACACAGAGCCTTGGCTCACACCGAACAGCAAGCTATAAAGAGCCCCAAAAAATGAATAGTGTAAAATCATTTAAACATGTATATTTATTTAATGAATTGATTAAGGCAAATTAATTAATATTTTTCAATTGATTTGTTTTATTGTCCTATACAAGTATATATATGGTTTAGGTGGGGATCGGGCCCATAGTGTTCTAGTTAACCCTTCCCTTATTCAGGCCCCTTAAAATACCCCTAAATAGACCCCAATGCACAAACGAGAGATCGATGACTCCGCTAGACATGTTATTGAGTTCTTTTCAATGTTTGTCTCTGTTCAACCTAAATCTGATCAAATAGAGATGAAGTACTAGCCATTAGCAACTACCACCTTACAGGTGTTGCTCTACACTGACCCTCTCTTGTAAAAATATACACATCAAAGAGTCTTTTTCTTGAAAGTATATTTTTTTTTCTATTTTGCTAATTAATGTTTACACTTACTAAAACATGTCATTCAAATCATTCACCACAGGTGTAACGAATGACCCGTCTTCTGGTTTTGTTACTCCAATGAAATGATGTGATGATTTCTTCATCTTTTCAGAAGTTGGTAATCCTGCCAACTGAAGAGTCCACACACTTAATGGGTTCCATTTTTTTTACCTGTATAATGTTTATATAAGTAATTGTCTTATACAGTCTAATGAAGTTTATGTAAGCAATTGAAGGCTTGTGTACACAGCTTTGATCATGTTGATCAACAATGAAAAAAATCCATACAGTATTAACCACATGAAAAAATGTCACTATTCAACTGAGAAAACAAAATGTTTTATAACAAAACAATTTACGAAAAACAAATATGGTTTACACTAGTTCAGTGGTTTCATCAGAGAAGATTTATTTTCATATTTAATGATAGATAAAGAACGATCCACAATGACAATAACTTTCACTAACCCTTTTGGGGGTATTGATACCTGTTATCAAATCACTATTTTAAAATTTAAATAATTTTACAATTTCTTGCATGTTTATACTCTATGTACCTGTTACCACTTGTGTCATCTACAAATATATTTATAGGAACTGTGTATATGTCCATGTCTAGCTGTTTTGACATCTCAATCAGATTTTGTACTCTTTCAACATCATCACCCTCATACACCTAGTGAAGAATAATAGAAAGTGAAACAAACATCATCCAAAATACACTAAAAACTTAATTGATTTTTGACCTAGTTTTCTCTCAAATTTTTTGAGAAAAAAAATAACGTTTCATGTATTTGCCTCATCATATCTGTCATGTCATCTGTCTTGCTGAAGATAATTATGTCTTTTTGATTCCATAAAAATAACCATTCAATAACTTGACAAACAGATTAATGAGTAATGTTTTTGCTTTCCCTGCTAAAGTACTTACTTTTTTGTATAATGATTAGTGACTGAACATATGTTTTTCTTTTAAACTAGTGGCATACTTTTTTTAAAATTTATTTTATTGGTAATTTTTGTTTTAGTAATTACTTATATATAGACGTAGTGTCCCGTATGAAATAAGTAGTAGGATTCCACCTAGACACTTGAAGGAATGTAGTAGGAATCTACCTAGAATCAAAGATTCTGTATAGAAAGTAGACGGACAGGGAAAATGAACAAAATTCTGACTGGATTTTTTTATTTTCTCACTAGAAAATCCTACCATCTAGCAGGAATTTTAAAAGTCTGTATGAATTTTTTTCTGTTTTGAAAATCTTAAGTGGGAATTTAGACAGGAAATATGATAAGTTTATTCATTTTCCTACTACAAGATTCCTACCAGAATTTATTTAATCCTACTAGAAAATGTTTTTACATGGAATCTTTTTAATTATCTTAAACTGGATTCCTGTTTGCTAATGACACAAATTTTGCTGTGTTGAATGCAACCAAGTTCCAGTTCACAAATTCAAAAGTTGGAGGGTAGAAGAATGAAAAGTTGTGTTGGAACACAACGCTGCAAGGATCAAACAACTACAATATTGAAATATGAGAAAATATGGCTCATGTTGATTGAAGGTAATTTTTATACTTTTAATATGAAATTTATTATCTGTTTGCCAATATATATTAGTTAATTAAACAACAGTGCATAACTTTCCTCATTATTTGTTCATAACTCTTTAATTTCATCTAATCAACATTTTTGTCCATCTACATATATAACACAATTTCTAACGTGAATACATCACAGTTTCCTAATACATTTCAAAAGTCTTTTTTTTTAATAAATCTATTCCAGACATTTCCTTTGTTCTTTGTTGTTGAGATTCAAACTTAAATGATTGACCCAGTTGTGTATTTGTGAATATACACTTACATTTTGTATATTTTTAGATTCCTACTAGAAAATATGTTTTTTCTATGTGGAATTTTGAAAAATTCCTACCAGGTTTTTCTAGTAGGAATTTTATTTTCCCGCCAAATTATTCCTAATAATTTAAATATTCCTGGTAGGAATATACAATATTCCTACTAAGAAATTCCTGCTAATTTAAATTTTTCGTCTTATAATTTTCCGTGTGGATTCCTACTGGAGTCTGACTGGAATATAACTCTTTTCTGGTAGGAATTCATCACAATATTCCTACTATATTCCGTGTTCATTCTGTGTGAAATATTTCATACACTAAACATCGGCACTAAACACATTTATTTAAAAACCAGTTGCTGGCATGACACGGGTTATGTTCTTCTCATATATGTTATGATGGTATGATACTAAACCCCTAACGGGAAGGATTGTGCCTGATATTCATATGATGAAGACCTAATCTATTAATCAGTTTAATTGAAGTCTGGAGCTGGCATGTCAGTTAACTGCTAGTAGTCTGTTGTTATTTATGTATTATTGTCATTTTGTTTATTTTCTTTGGTTACATCTTCTGACATCAGACTCGGACTTCTCTTGAACTGAATTTTAATGTGCGTATTGTTATGCGTTTACTTTTCTACATTGGCTAGAGGTATAGGGGGAGGGTTGAGATCTCATAAACATGTATAACCCCGCCGCATTTTTGCGCCTGTCCCAAGTCAGGAGCCTCTAGCCTTTGTTAATCTTGTATTATTTTTAATTTTAGTTTCTTGTGTACAATTTGGAGTTTAGTATGGCGTTCATTATCACTGAACTAGTATATATTTTTGTTTAGGGGCCAGCTGAAGGACGCCTCCGGGTGCGGGAATTTCTCGCTGCATTGAAGACCTGTTGGTGGCCTTCTGCTGTTGTCTGTTCTGTGGTCGGGTTGTTGTCTCTTTGACACATTCCCCATTTCCATTCTCAATTTTATTATTTAATTTTGATCGCATCATCATCAAAATATAAACACACAGGTATTAATCTAGTAGCTCATAATATTTTTTTATAACAAACTCACATTTGTCTGGTCCAACTTCAACAGATCATTTGCTATCACAGATATATTTCTTGTACTACAAATAGAGATTACAATTATATTAAAACTCACAGTTACCAAAAGATACAAACATAATAAACATTTCCTGAAAATATCTATTACTTGTACTGCTGAAATTTTTGTATATGATTTAATTTTTACATCTAGATATGGTGAGTTTGAATTAGTAACTTAATTTCAGAAGTTTTAATGTGAACCAAATGATTACATTACATGTATGTTTCAGAAGAATCCGTTATTTTGATTGGATAACAACGCTTGTTCGTCATACTAGAATTCACCTTCATAGCCCAAAAGTTCATATTGACACGTGCTATCCCAAAAAGTGCACAGGTTATTTAAAGAAATGATAAAAATAGATTGTCCATTGTCATAGCGAAAAAATGTAATTATAAATATTGAATGCTTCTTTTACTAATTTCATATGGTTGTAAAAGCGTTGACCATGCGCACATTTTTAGAATGAAGCGCTTCCACGCTTCATACAAAATGTACTTCGGTCAAAGCTTTTACACCCCAATGAATTTACTTTTACACCCCAATGATTTACTTTTACACCCCAATAAATTTACAAAAAGAAGCATTCAATTCTTAAATGAAACTGTTTACAGAGATCTCCCCTATTGATAACTGGATTTAAACATTTTTAACTTCACTTGTCCTATTTTCTCAGTTATTTTTATTCACTGGGACCTTTTAATTTCTTCTATTAAAGAGAAATCCCATCACTACCTGAGTAAAAAAATATCCTTCATGTAGATGAAAGTGCATATATCAACTAAAATAAACAGCTGCGCCATGAGCGCATGATACGCCCGTCGTCTTGTGTGTGAATTTTTATGCAATAAGCATAAATAGTTTCTGACATACGGCGTGACATGCGAAAACCCCCTTTTTTTTTTACAAAAAACTCAATATCACTAAAATAAAATTTTGAATCAAAACCAATAAATTACACAGATCTTTAGATTAATATAACTAAGAAGTGTGTAAAATTTTAAGCAATAATCATAAATCGTTTTTGAGATACGGAGTGACATGTGAAAAAACCCCTCCCCTTTTTTTTACAAAATACTCAATAACTCAAAAATAAAATTTTGAATCAAAACCAAAAAGTATACAGATCTTTAGATTAATATAACTAAGAAGTGTGTAAAATTCTAAGCAATAATCATAAATCGTTTTTGAGATACGGCGCGACATGTGAAAAACCCCTCCCCCTTTTTTTACAAAATACTCAATAACTCAAAAAAAAATTTTGAATATCACCAAAAAGTATACAGATCTTAAGGTAAATATAACTAAGAAGTGTGTAAAGTTTTAAGCAATAATCATAAACTGTTTTTGAGATACGGTGTGACATGTGAAAAAAAACACACACCTGTTTTAGTTGCTAAGTCCTGTAACTCAAAAAGTTTTAATCTTATTTTCACCAAAAAGTATACAGATCGTTTGACCATCAAAAGAAACAACTATGTTAAGTTTCATGAAATTTGGATAAGTCATTCTCAAGTTACGGTGCGACATGTTTACGCTGGACAGACAGACGGACAGACGGACGGACACCGGACATTTGTATACCATAATACGTCCCGTCAAAAATTGACAGGCGTATAAAAAACTGCATGAGTGCATGTTGTATTTATTCAATATTATATTTTCAATCTGTTCAAAGTTAATAATTAAAAAAAAAATGCAGATTCACTGGTTTGATAGCAAGATAAATTCCTGCTACACATTGAAATAACCATGCACTGTAATTTTAAGAAGAAAAAACAGCATTTAATGATGTTCAATTGCTGTCTTCAACTTTTATAATGTACACAAAATGAATGTATACCAGTTCATTATTTTATTTCTCTTTACATTTGTAGTGTTTATACCAACCTTTCACACTTTACAGATGCATATACTTGATGTGTATTTTCAAATTCCTAAAAAAACATAATAATAAGTGTCAATGACAATATAGGATGTAGTTGCCATGTCTAAACAGATGACTGAATCTGAGCTAAAGAAGTCATATACAGTTATAAAAATATTAGATACATGTGTGAACAAAGGTTTTCTTACATAATGTGTTTGAATTTAAAATGTGTTATTTGTTTAAGGCAAGATCCACAACTTTCGTTCATATATATTCAGAATTGTTACACTTAACATGCAATGATAACATTTTAATTCAATTATACAACGTACAACATGTCAGAGTAGCTGTACTTTATTGACTTAAAATAACCTTATTCCTGTGTCATTTGGTCTCTCAGAAGTGGAAATAACATTTCTTCATTAAATCTACATTATTACCTGGGAAAAAAACTGAACAACAGTCCCACACTCTCCATTTGTGCCATTCTATATTCTTTCTGAAGATGAATTTTTTGCCATCAAAGACTTTATTTCAGTCTTCCACTTGCTTCCACTACTTTGCCCTTCAAAAAAGTTGCTTTGTCTGGGAAATCTATTTTTGAAAGAAAAAAAATGTTTTATAAAGGGGCCATCATCAGAGGAGGAATGGAAGATTAATGTTTGCACCCTTTTAATAAAGATACAGTAACTGTGATAACTGGTGGTTCAGAGTTAACCTGAGCTGTTCAGTAAACAGGCTGTTCCGTTAATTGGCGGTACAGTTATCAGGTAGATCAGATATATATCAGGTGGATAAATATGAATCTTGTTGATATCTAAACAGGTTCAATTATCCCTGTCAGTGAAAAATCCCGATGGGATGTTCAATGGTTACACATGTTACAGTACCTAATCTTTATTAAGCTAATGTACATGTTACAGTTAACATTTTGACATGTTACGGTAAACATTTTGACATGATACGGTAAACATTTTGACATGATACAGAAAACATGTGACCTGATGATATAACCCAAATTTGGGCTTGAGCATTGGGTATAGGATGTTTTAATTATTGATGAAGTACATGGTAGTCACTAAGTCTTGATCTTTGGCTTATGATCAGGGGTCGAATTTAAGCTTTTATGTATACTGGCCAGCCGGACCAGTGGACTGAATAATCTACTGGTCCGGGTGCAAATCTACTGGTCCTGCAAAAATTACATTAATTTGACACTAATATAAATGATAGATATTTACTTTTATTTTCGTGCTTTCTTTTACATATGTTAGACAAGAAAAAGAGAGAGTCTCCATCCTGATTTTGATAATGGCTTTGATAATCTCAATGATTTTCTTTATCAAAATCAGTATCAAGAACAGAAAAAATGTCAACATTGTCTTCCATGTCATCACAATCATCAAGACGACCATAGGGCGCCTGACTGGGTTGTCTGGAGCGCTGCCCAGAATTGCCACATTTGAATAGCCGGGACAAATTTTTCACTTGTTATTTAATTCACTACATTGCGGTCGACTATATAATTTAACAATTCGCGATCTTTTTCCAAGGATTTTTTATATTAACGTTTCCTTTTGTCAATTTCTTAAACTTTATTCCGATCTTCCTCTTGAAAGACACTTTTTTATTTTTTTGTAGAGATGTCCTTCCAAAAATTTCCACATTTTGTGTTGTTGTGTAGGACGCTCACGATATTAATTAACTTGATCAATTGTAATACTTAGTACCGCCAGTACAGTGTAATTGATTTTGCAGGTAAAATTGTTTGCAAACAAACCGATTTTGGGATGCAATCGGAGTTTTTTCGACAAATTTCTACTGGTCCGCCGGACCACCAGCTGACAAAATCTACTGGTCCAACGCAAATTCTACTGGTCTCGGTCCACCAGACCAGCGCCAATTTTGACCCCTGCTTATGATACACCTAAATATCAAGACTTGAAATAGTATATTACATGGTAGTTTACCAGTATTTCATTTCAAGCTTTGCCCAACTAAATCTTGATAATTGTAAAGAAAATCTGTACATATTTCAATATTTTTAAAATTCTTAACTTTCTTTTCTATAAATAAATAAAAAATTTCAAAGAACCATTAAATTGTTTGTGACTGTTGAGTATTTTTCTATTATAGCCATTATCTTTGACTCATGAGTTTGAATGTCCCTTTGGTATCTTTCACCTCTCTTTTAGACTTAAGATAACACTTAAATAACTTAAAGCTGATGAAACAATTAAGTGGTAGGCTGGTATAAAGAATAATAGAAAAATAACATAATGAACTACCTTTGTAACTGTATTGCTGTGTTTTTCTTTGAAAGCTGCATTTCAATTATACTAGATGGCTTTATGTAAAAGATGTCTTTGTCGGTATCTTTATTAGAAGACTGAAAGAAAAACATTAAAGTTTGTCTTTAATCAATATAAATTGCCTCTCCTGGTCCCTATATTAATTTCCAAACCCTTATTAGAAGACTGAAAGAAATAACATTAAAGTTTGTCTTTAAACAATAAACAATTATGGCCCGTTGAAAAGGTGAATATCCAAAATTGTCAACACAAGAAGGTTATTTCAATGAGGGCGCAGCCCGAAGTGAAATAACTTTGAAGGGTTGACAATTTTGGATTTTCATGGATTCTAAGGGCCACAATTGTTTTATGATATACCGAACTAACAGTGGAAGGGCATTTAGAACACTTACTATCTTCTTTACATAACAAACACAAGCTGAGGTTTGAAAATACATTTGTGTTCTGGAATTTCTCGAATGTACAACAAAGGTAGAATCTTTTTGTAAAATATTGATGGGCCTGAAAAGGACCGTTTATAAGAGATATCATTGGCTGCTGGCACTCTAGTCATGTCCAAAGCCTTATTTCCTCGTCTCTCGATAGGCTGTCAGTGTAACGTGAACGATGCCATTTTGTTTATTTACGTCTGTGACGTCATTTTCATGGGAGATAACTCAAGTGCAAATCTAGACACTCAAAAGGTTATTCGCCGGTGAGTGATAGGGTCATTCATCGCTGGTGTAAATTTTAAGGGTTATTCGTCCTCCCTTGCAATTAAATGAAAATTAACTGAATTATTCCATGTCACGTGATAAGGTGTTACCCAATAGAATTGTTTGTAATATATGTAAGGTATAATAATATAAATTGCCTCTCCTGGTCCCTATATTAATTTCCAAACCCTATCATTTTATAATCTATCCATTATTATAATTCAAACAAGGAAACTTAACTGCACAATTCATGCACAAAGCAATAAACCAAAAAAAATGACAAATATGGCATAATTATATTCATCTTACAGCTTTGTAAGATATTGAAAAGTTCTCTGAAATTCTTAGTATCATAATTTTCTGGTTTTTTGTTGAAAATTTTGCATGGTCATATTAGCAATTTGTGATTGTGCTATGGAATTTTCTCTTTCTGACTTTTCGATGTTCATCTAAAATTTGTAGTGGTAAAATCATGGCAATTTTTTTTTAAATAAGTAATACATTGTACATTATAACATACATACATTTGTAGGGAAAATTTCATTACTATCCATTTTCAATTAAAAGTATTCTAAAAATAGCAAATTTGTCAAAACAGCTAGATTACATGTATCTTACCACTGATGGTTTAAGTTCTAATCCTTCAATGTCAAGATTCCATATCTTATGGAATGGAGGAATACTCTTTATATTGTCTTCAACTACTACTCTGATTATGTGTAAAATAAACTTAAAAAGTTCTTGATCCTAAAAATAGAAAGAGTTGCAATGTACATCATTGTTCCAGGTTTGGCGAAGGGTTTGGTTAACCAGCAACTTCCTGTATGTGGAAGTCTGCATGCATGTAGTTCACAATTTTAGTGGTCATCTTTTTTGGCTGTTAAATTATACATCATATTTGTTTTTCATTTTTAATATTTTGTACAGTATAAATTAAATCAGGCCATTAATTTTCTTTTTTCTATTGTTTATTATTTGTCATTTCTGGGCCTTCTATCATGATATAGCTTACTTTGATGCATTAGTTTTACTCATAGTTGAAGGTTGTGCATAGACATGTAGTTGTTGTCATTTAATTATCACTATCAGGATGATTTCATAGTCTCATTGGCAATCATACCACATCTTCTTAAAGTCATATGAAACGAATTACTGGTGAAAAATAATATTTATCCAATTCTTGAAATGCATTTCTATATCATAAAGAAACTTCAGTGCAAGATTTTTTCATATTTTTATGCATCCATATAAAGTGTATTTTTTTAAATTGATACCCGGGGGGGGGGGGGGGGGGGGGGGTTGTTACATCCTACATTTTTAGTGATACGAGTGTGCCGCAAAACAGGGTCGCTTTTTCATGCCCTGCTGGTGAGAACAGGGTCCCTTTTCATGTCCTGCTGGTTAGAACAAGGTCGCTTTTTCATGCCCTGCTGGTGAGAACAGGGTCTTTTTTTAAACAAAGTATTTGTCTAGAACAGGATTGCTTATTTAACTGTTTAAGATACAGTCTAGAAACCGGTCCCGGGTCTAGAACAGCATCTATTTTACATTTTCTTGGGTGTGTCTAGAACAGGGTATGTTTTCAATATATCTGTTTAGAACAGGGTATATTTTTCAATGTTTTCTAGTTAGAACAGGGTATGATTTGGCAAGTGCTGTCGGCACAGTTATAGCCAAAAGGATAGTCAGTAAACCCCCCCCCCCCCCCGGATTGATACTAATTTGCTTGACCGGACACCTAGTCCAAATAATTATGACGTCTTGAAAGGCTATTATATTTTTTTTCTTTGACGCCTTACATCGATGTAAGGCGTCAAAGAAAAAAAATATAATAGCCTTTCAAGACGTCATAATTATTTGGACTACCGGACACCATGATTGCAAGATTGAAGATTGCAATATATATGATTATAAAAGCGCAATCTATACAGTGATAAATATGATCCACGTAACACGTAGAGCAGTAGCTCTAGCCTGTTGGCGAAAGGGAAGTAGTCGTCTGTAAAAATCTCTGAGTCATCGAGTTCCTGTTTAGTTGCACTGTCACTGTCAATGTTGAAGTTCTCTTGCCACACATCATTTGTCTCTGTACTTTGTTCTTCTTCACAAAACTGCAATAAACCTATTACATCTTTATGCTTTTTTGTTTCTAGATGTTTGCAGTAATTGCTCTGTTTTTCTGTTGAAAATTCGCAAGGATTACACTGAAACATTTCAAATGCAGAATCAGAAGCAGAATGCTCGTGCAGTGATCAGGTGATTGAAGCGCTTGTAAAAGCTCTTTAGAACGCGTCGATTCAAACGTTTTTAAAACCTTGGAGTATAATTTTCGTCTGCAACTATTTCACGAGACATATTATAAAGATTAAAAGAAGACATATTTTTAAAACAAAAAAAAGAAGAATTTTTGATAGTCTTAGAGAGACAATAACAGGTGATTTGCAAAACACTAAAGTAACGTATATTTTGATATAAAAGTAAGATGAAGTCCAACAAATCAGTTACACGTAGCTAATTTACATACGATCTATCCATTGGTGTCTTCACTGAAGCAGATAATAGAAAAACATTGAAACCATTGAGGGTCTTCAGGGTATGTTTAAAAAAAAATGCAATAGAAATTGTCGCACGGAACACGAGTAGATCTATTCCGATTTAATGGAGACGTGAACGTTGAAAGATCAAATATCGCCGAGCTCAATCGCCGAGGGTCATCGTCACAAAGGAGAAGGTTCACGAAGGGTTAAAATTGGCCCTATTTTGTTATGTTTTTTAAATCGGGCCAAAAAATTACAAACCGGGTAAAAATCATTTATAGTATACGATGGATTTACTTTCCATACTGACAGAATATAATAAAACGGACTTATTCTGCTTGAAATCCCACTTGGGATCCACTTCCTCGTTGGTGTGTAGGGGACTCAGAGTCAGACTAACGGAAAGGGTATTTGTACTAGTAAATAATTGAATAAATTAATAAATAAATAAGTACTATTACCTGTAGTTACCTGCCAAATAAATGCGCGCAAATGTTATCAAAAGCTGTGCGCAATCGTAATGATTTTTGCTCGCAAATGTAATGGTAATGCGCGCAAACGTAATGCACCGTCATATATACAAGTCATACAAGTCTTAATTAAAAATGAGCCGGGGGGTCGAGTCATGCTTCAGTGATTCCCTATATAATCAACCAAATTGTTCCCACGAAAGGGGGCGGACTAGACCCCCTGGGTCCGCATATGAATATACACAAAACGTTCACAGTATATATCAACAGATGAATTATTCACTTAAAAAAGGAAATTTATGGAAACTTCGCCATGCAACGTTCTCAAAAAGTCATCATTTAAACCATGGAAGTAATATTCAAACAATATAACTTCCATGTTTAAACTGAATGAGCAAATTAAATATGTTACAAGCATCCATTTCTTAAAAAAAAATGAAAAGTGAGCACGGACTAATGTGAAGTTTTCCAGGAACATATATGTTAGATATACTGTTCCCAGGTTGTTCTAAATATTTGAAGAAATTGAACAAAACATCTGTTATTCAATTTTTAAGGATGTGAACACTAACTTGTGATTATCATCTAAATAGATATAAGAAGATGTGGTATGAGTGCCAAATTTTTTTTTATAAAATATCAAAAAATAACTCTCCATCCTAGTAACAATTTGTAAAAGTAAACCATTATAGGTCAAAGTACGGTCTTCAACACAGAAGCTTAGCTCACACCGAACAGCAAGCCATAAAGGGCCCAAAAAATGACAAGTGTAAAACCATTGAAAAGGGAAGATAAACGGTCTATAATCTATATAAAAAATGAGAAGCGAGAAACACTTATGGACCATATCAACAAACGACAACTACTGGGCATCAAATTCCTGACTTAGGACAGGTGCAAACAAATGCAGCGGGTTTTAAACGTGTTAAAGTATTAACATTTTCATTCATACCCCAGAAATTCGTTGCCCCCTCATTGTAGTTCTACCCAATAGCTATATAATTTATGAGGGCATGCAGAGTCTATAATTCCTAGCCATATATAACTGCCGGGGCAATGGGTTTGAACAAGTGGGTGACCGAAGTGTATATTTGATCAGATTTTTCTTTATTTTCTGATTTGGACGCAATTTTCGTCCTCTACGAATGTTTACCCCGGAAACTCTTTGCCCATTCGTTGTAGTACTCTCCAATAGCTATTTATTAAAGCAGAGTCTATAATGCCTAGCCATACTGAAATGCCGGGGCAATTGGTTTGAACAAGTGGGTGACTTCAGTGCATATTTGATAAAATTTGACTTTTTTCTGTGTAACGGACGGAATTTTGGGCCTTTAACAATGCTTAGCCCAGAAATTTTTTACTCTAACCTTGAAGTACTATCCAATAAATATTCATTAGGGCAGCATCTATAATGCCTAGCCATAAAGAACTACCGAGACAATGGGTCGAATTTGGCTTTATTTCCATGTTACGGACGCAATTTTCGTTCTCTATGAATGATTATCCCATAAAATCGTTCCCCTCGTTGTAGTACTACCCAATAGTTATTTATTAGAGTAGAGTCTATAATCCTTAGCCATACAGAACTGCCGGTGCAATGGGTTTAAACTAGTGGGTGACCCCAGTGCATCTTTGATAAAATTGGACTATTTTTCCGCGCTATGGACGGAACTTTCGGCCTTTAAGAATGCTAACCCAGAAATTCTTTACCCTCACCTTTTAGTACTATCCAATAGCTATTCATTAGGGCAGCATCTATGCTGCCTAGCCATAGAGAACTACCGAGACAATGGGTCGGAAAGTGGGTGACCCGAATGCGTATTTTATCGAATTTGGCTTTATTTCCATGTTACGGACGTAATTTTCGTACCCTAGGAATGTTCATCCCATAAATTCGTTGCCCCTTCGATGAAGTACTACCTAATAGCTATTTATAAGAGCAAAGTCTATAATCCCTAGCCATACAGAACTGCTGGGGCAATGGGTTTAAACAACTGGGTAATCCCAATGCATATTTGATCAAATTTGACTTTTTTACCGTGTTACAGACATAAGTTGCTGCTTTAATTATGTAATAAGTATATATTTTCTTTACTATCATTCCTAGATCCAGATATGGCTGAAATGCTGAGAAAACTTTTCTTGATGCCACTTGAGGTATTACATGTATATAAATCATAATTAAGTATTAGTTAGTAGAAAACATCTACGCTTAGAAAAATTAGATAAACTGTGCTGGGATGATAACACAAAAGTTGTCTTCTTGTTTTGATTATTCTCATTATGTCGCCCAGAATTAGGTATATTTTTTAAAGACTCAACAATCAATGAAGTCTTCAATTGGAGTGACAAACTTCAAACAGAATTTAAGTGAACGAATTTAATGTAGCCACTGCACAAACGGCCATTTCATGATGTATAACATTCGAAAGATTGTTATTTGTACTTTCTTCTTCGTCCGTTTAAAAAAAAAATACATGGTAAATTCCGTTAAATCGAAGTCAAATGTGAAGAATTAACAGTTCAAAATTTTCATAGAATTAAACAAAAAGCTTATACTAAAATGTATGAATATGATCATATAAAAGCTGTAAAAGTGAATACTGTCAGTAGTTTTAAATTCATCATCTAGATGGTTTGTAGATAAAAAGTTCTTGCTGCAAAACTATATATGTCTTTATGTCTTTCATCATAAAATAGAATGAAGTAGAAGAAGAAACAGAAAGTGCAGAAAATCTTCAAAGAAATCAAAATAGAGTGGTTGGTAGAACTTGGCATTAACCTTCTATATATTTTTAAGAAACAATTGACACAAAAAAACTGTATTCAAAGCAGACATACAACTGCACAAAAAGATTTAGGTAACAACTGACAAAGGTTCTGTGAACGTAATAGCAAAAGTGAAATGACTTTTTGATTATTTATAAGAAATGAATTATATACATAGTGATTTTAGCATCGTTTTTGTAATTACATTATGGCTGTTGAATTGTTGACTAAGCACACATGTTCAGCAAGCTCCTGAGGTTCACACAAAGTGTGCCTCGATCAACGTTTTACATCTCATTGAATCTACTTAAACGATTCATTCAAATGTTTATGGTACAAGATAAATTTTCGTCATAGTTGTCTTGGCATCAAATAGAATTATCAAAATTGAGAATGGAAATGGGGAATATGTCAAAGAAACAACAAGACCAAAAACCAGACAACAGCCGAAGGCCACCAATGGGTTTTCAACGCAGCAAGAAAATCCCACAACAGGAGGTGGTCCTCAGCTGGCCCCTTACTAAAATTGTGTACTAATTCAGTGAAAATGTACGTCACACTAAACTCCAAAACATATAAATAAACTAAAATTGAAAAACATGCAAGACTCCTGAATTTAGACAGGAGCAAAAATGTCATATATTTTGACTGGAGCATGAAACTTCAGTTGAAGTGTTTACTAAAGTTTTGATCTGTAATGCAGACACTTCTTCAACTTGTTTGAAAGATAAAGTGAAATTTTACAACACATAAGCAGAATTTATAGTTTTCTATGAAAATGTTTTAAGGTTCATTTTCATAGGATAACGTCACCAATTTTCATGGTATCAACAATTGGTGCTATTTAAACGTGCGCGAATGTGCAATCGACGTATGACAAATTTAAATGTATATTGGACGTTGTTTTCTGTCATTTTCATTAGAATGGCGATAACAATGTTGTATTTTAAGCTCTGACGGCATCAATTGGTGATTTGATGGTGACAAATACCCGTACTCTTAATTTGCGACCATCAAATAACCAATAGATGCCATCGTAGCTTAAAATACAATACAGATATCTCCTAAGTATTCGTCATTAACGATTTATGCTGCCCTTAGCATTATTTTAGTAACCATACAATGAAAAAAAATACTATTTGAATACAGATTAAGAAACTACAATTTCAAAATCAGTTCATGAAGTTTTTAATTCATTAATTTAGGATCAGTTGGATTATGTTCCAGACAGCTTTGAGAGCCAAACAATTTCACAGATTGTTGAAAGAAATGAAGGTGAATTATACGTACTCTTTTATTACACTTTAGCCATTAGATTTTTATAAAATACTATGAACAACTACAAATACATCATTTCTTGGAACATTTGGCTAATCAAGGGTTGAACAAATCTTATTCTTTCTCTAGTAGTAACACAGTTCCAGAATCCATAACCAGTTATTTTATTTCCCTTATTTCCAATCAGTTTAAATTACATGCAATATAAAATAATATAAAATTATAAAAAGCAGACTCTCCATGAGAAAAAATAATATTCTGCACTTAGAAATATGTTTTAATTGCTAAGTATATACAAAAAAGAATTGGAAAAAAATATACAGTCAATGCATCATGACTGCGCAAAATATAAGGGTTGCAATATAGAGCCATTTATGACTTAATACAAGCATGATACAGAAATAAACAACTATAGGTTGGCGTAACGCCTTCAACAATGAGCATAGTCTATACCGCATAGTCAGCTATAAAAGGCCCATAAATGACAAATGTAAAAACAATACAAACCAGAAAACTAACGGCCCAATTCATGTAGAAAGTAATGAACGAAAAACAAATAGGTAGCACAGCAACAAACGACAACCACTGAATTACAGGCTCCTGACTTTGGACAGGCCCATACACAATGTGGCTGGGATAAACATGTTAGCAGGAACTAAACCCTCCCCTAACATGGAACAGCGGTGTAAGTGTGTATTTGTTTATTCGACATTGGCTAGAGGAAAACAAAACACTTATAACCCCGTAGCTTTTGGCAACTGTCCTAAATCCGGAACCTCTGTCCTCTGTTAGTCTTTTATGTTCTTTTTAATTGTGGTTCATTTATATGTTTCTGACCTTAGGGTTAGGTCTTTTTTCGCTTAACTAGTATACATTTTTGTTACGGGGCTAGTTAAGGCCCACTTGAAGGGTGCGGGATTTGCACGGTGTGTTAAACGTCGCATATCATCTTAAGTTTTATTTATTGTTCGTTATAATTTTTTACTTAGCAATTTCTTATACGCATCTTTCTCACACAAATGTTTCAGGAACAAGTGACAACCAAGACCATGTTCCAGGTAAGAAATTGGCAATTAAGGTCAAGTAACAGTTTACTACAAGTGGAGAACAAGTGCCTTGTTAAGAAATAAATGGGGAATGTGTCCATGAGACACAGATGATCCATATAAGATTATAAAAGGCCATAAACGCAAGAAAGATAAAAGTGACACTACCAAAGTTTTCTAGCTGTGATAAAGAGACATTCCCTATTTCCATTCTCAATTTATGTCATAGATTTTCTTAAAATATTTCGCATACACCTTTCAATTGGCTCGTTGAACAACTAAATATCGAAAAAAATCCCTTTTATCTCTTATATTTGTAACTGAGGGTATATTGTTTTACCCCTGTCTGTCTGTCTGTCTGTCCTTCCGTCCGTCAGTCCATCCCATTTTGATGTATATACTTGCATAAGAGGAGCGTTAACTGTTTCCAGATAACTCCTCCTACAGTTTTAATGCTAGGCAGTTTTCACTATGATGGCTGTTTGTACATATGTTGAAGGTGTGAATGTGGTCAGGATTAATTTATTAATTTTTGCTTTTGGGAGATAAAATTACTTTGTCATTTTTTGGGGTGTATGCGGTTAAATGTTATAGTTATTTTTAAATAACACGTTGCATCTGTGGGGCATCAATTTGTCTCCCATACACAACAATATCTCAAAGAAAGTCTCACATTGACTTTTTTATAATACAGTTACTTCACAGTGGAGTGCGGGGGCATCACTTTGTCTAGTCTTAAGTATATATGATTTAAATCTTTCAAAATAGGTGAACATAAATATTGTATAGGAAATATATAAAATTTACGAAAAACGATCTAAATTTAAAACAAGAATGTGTCCATAGTACACTGATGCCCCACTCGCACTATCATTTTCTATGTTTAGTGGACCGTAAAATTGTGGCCAAAACTCTAATTTGTCATTAAAATTAGACAGATCATATCATAGGGTACATGTGTACTAAGTTTCAAGTTGATTGAATTTCAACTTCATCAAAAACTACCTTGACCAAAAAATTTAACCTGGAGCGGGACAGACGGACGAACGAACGAACGCACAGACCAGAAAACATAATGCCCCTCTACTATCGTAGGTGGGGCATAAAAATGTTTTAAAACTTTTGATACGTAGATTTTTCTTCAATGTGGTGTCGGTAAAACAAAATCAACAGTTAAAGATGTAAGATGATTATAGGGTCAGAAACAGATTTAATATAAATACAAAGTGTCTCCTTTATAGCCAAATATTTGGTGTGTATTTTTCACATTGTTGAAAACCGTACATTTGCCTTTTAATTGCTTACATTTACTTCGTTTGAAATTTGGTGGATAATTGTATCATTGGTAATCATTGTTATCATACCACACCTCCTTATTTTTTTCTCCATTTCTTTTTAATTAAATCAGGACCGTAACTACATTGAGGCAAATGAGGCAAATGCCTCATGTTGAAAATTTTGAAAAAAAAATGATAAATTGAAACAAAAGCTTGCCTTCATATCAAATTGTTTTCACGGCGAGTGTCTTGCAAGAAGCAAGTTCTGTTCATCCTCTGATGTCGTCCCCTGTTTTTCGGGATCCATGTTCCTCATTTATTTTTAGTTTTCAGTGTTGATGGTCTATATTGTTTGTCGTTATGTGTCTTATCTGTTACCGGGTTTGTCTTTTGGTCGTTTATTGCCCTTCTTTATGACTATTGTCTTTGTGTTGAATTTCATTTAAAAATTTAATTTAGTAATTTTGTTTTAAACTTGAATTTTATTTTATGTTTAAGGACCTTTTGTCTAATTTTAAAACCTACTTTAAATTGTAAAACTATTTGAAATTAGCTCTCAATTTTTTGTTCTAAGGCGGCGTTAAGCGGACACCAATCAATCAATCAATCAATCAATCAATCAATCAATCAATCAATCAATCAATCAATCTTTATGACTAACGCTTTAGTTGTCCAATATTAAGCTGTTGTTGGTTTCTTCTCGTAACATCTGTATGTTGTAAACGTTCATTCGCTGCTTTGAGTAGACTTAAGACTTGAGAAAGATCAACGATGACGGGTGAAAGGTTGTGTGGTTTGGCAATGTTGCATGTCCACCGATGTCCAGATATTGTTCGAAGAATGGTTTGAGAAGATTCCATGCTACCGGACATAGAAAAATTTGTCGTTTTTTTCATGGAAAATTAAACTTTATATTAAAGAATACAAGACTGGCTCTCTTTTCTGTAAATAAAACTCATTGAAAAAGCTGACATGGGTTAAATTAAAGTGAGACAACCAATCTCCCGGAATCAAATCATTTAAAAAGAAAAATCATGTATTGCCATACGACCTTTTACACTGAAGGCTAAACTTGCATTTAGCCGTGTTCAGGCCCTTAAATAGAAAGTAAATGGATATGGAGTAAATGTGCATGGGGCAAAATCGCACACACTACATAGAAAAAGTACAAATTATCAATGAACATGCAGGGTTTTTATTTTTGTTCTTCATCTTGACAGTCGCTTGAGGGTCTTCAACAATGAAAGAATCATTCATACCCTACAACAAGGTCAAGACGGCCCCTAGCGTCAACTTAAGCGATACTTAAAGTATTGTACTGTGAATAAATTTCAAAGTCACAAAAATATACACCAAAGTCTAAACACAATACAAGACCAGAACAGACAGATCCGACATTATCAGCCGGTATAAAATGTAGCAATGAGGTCTAAGAACAGTTTTCCTGAGACTACCCTGAGTGTACCCTTTTATCCCAGTTAGCAACTACATCAAGTAGTTGTAATTGAAATGCGTTATAAAATCTGAATTCACATAGTTAAATAAATGATAATCAGCCCCCTCTTAACTCTTAAAAAAATAATTGACAGGTACAATACGTTTTCTGCCTGCCAAAAAAAAAAAAAAAAACAGCAGCCACACATTTAATTATGTGAAATACGATTTTTGCTTAATCCTTCTTATCGGTCTTTTGATGTTGTCCTTAAAAACTAAGGGTCTTACAATGAATCTATATATTTTGCTTTGAGACCAGAATATTGTCGAAAACATAATTAAAACAAAACTTGCGTTTCAGATTGAGAACGGGTCCGAGAAACGCTCAAAATGCACAATTTTGCGTCAATTTTTCCAAAGCTTTTTCCCAGACCCCTCGCCGAATATATTTTGCCTCACTTTTAAAAGAGACTAGTTACGGCCCTGTAAATTTCGACTTTAATAATGTCAAGGTATTTATTTTAAAATTGCTTTTTTGGGTTCCTTAGTACTTTCACACTTTCTTTTTGGGGCATATATATTAAAACATACAAAGCAAATGGTCAAACAGCCGTAATGTATTATTTTACAGACAGAAACATCTTCAAAATGTTACAGGACATGGAAATGGAAATTAAGGCTATGCATCAGACCATGCAACAAAGCCATCAATTTAGGGTAGAAGGCCAGATAAAAAGGGATATAGCCGTAATTGCAAAGCGGTATTTTGGCCGTAATATGTTCTCAATTCCGGATGCTTGCAAAGTGAGTGCTATAATAATAAAGTTTTTATTGTATTGATTGTATTTTGTCAACCAGGAATTATCATTTTCGGAATTCGTGGAAACGGCTGTTATATTCGATATTTGCTGGTTTTTAGTCGGTGCTCAATACAATTTAATTTTGTTGTCAGTAAATTCATATCAATCTGAACATATGAGCATTCACAGTCCTACAATCTGTCGCTACTTACATGTATATATTTAAACATTGCACACAGTTATGTATTTCTATGACTGTTAATGACGACTATATGTTAAATACTTCGGTTTGATACTTTAGCATTATAAACGTTACCTTTTTATTGCTTGTTTTGGCTTTCAAGAAGCTTTCAGTATCGACGGGTATTTCTAAACTTTGTGTCTTTGGTGTTTCTGTAAGTTGTGTTATGTGTGTTTTGTAGCGATCTGGTATTTATAGCTTGTCCTGATGTTTTACTGTTACACAACTGTCTCAGGTCAGCATACATGCATGTTTGTCCCGCCACATTTTGTATGTGTATGTCCCTAGTCACGATCCTGTAAATCGGTGAATGTCGTTTGGTGTAGTATATCATATTTGTTTCCGTTTATTGTTTTGTAAATCAATAAAGACGTTAGTTTTCTCGTTTGAATTTTTTTACTTTTATAATTTTGGGGCCTTTTATAAATTACTTTTCGATATGGTTTTCTCATTTGGTTGAAGGCGGTACAGTGACCTAAAGTTGTTGTCTTTTACGTTATTTGGTCTCTGGTGGAGAGCTGTCTCATTGACAACGATACTTACTTATCATCTTCTTATTTGATATGAATGCCGGTACTTGGTCTATTTCGTTAATAAGATATGAGTCTAAAAAGGAAACTTGTATCCATAAGAGTATAGTCAATGGCCGTTTTTAACATACTTACTTGAACAAGATAGACTTTTATAGCTGATCTTTAAACTGTGTAATGGATTACTTTATTTGAGGCTTCATATATTGCATGAACAGTGACTGTCTACGTTTTGATGGTATTTTCGCTCAATAAAGTCACGACGGGTGTCTAATACTTAAAGCAATAGGCCAACTATATTTGTTGTATGAATGATTGTAAGGTGTATATGTCTATCTGGCAATAATGTTCTGACCATGACCTCAGTGGTCAATCTTAAATTTTCCTAGTTATTTTTTGTTTCTCAGATTCTATGATATGGAATATGTCAACAATATATAAAGCATGTAATAAATATATGATGTACACGTCTGTCTGGCGGGGCTCATTTGACCTTGACATCATTTTCATGATTCATTGATCAATGTTAAATTTTCCTTGTTAAATGTTGTTTCATAGAAACATTGTGCAATATATCAAATATATTCAAAGCAAATTTGGTGTATGAATTGATTGTAAAATGTACAAGTATTTCAAGTTGGGTTTATCTGACCTTGACCTCATTGTCTTGGATCCAGTTCAGTGTATGTGATAGTTGTAGTAATTAAAGCTTAACAACATAAAATCAATGGTAAGTAAGAAAGGCAAGATATTTCAGCGTGTGCAATCTTGTTTAATATAAGGTCTAGGAGGAAAACTTTCTATTCTTCTTGTAGACTGAAGTAAGTGAATTGATACAAGAGGAAATGGGCAGGCAGGCAAAAATTTCCGAAATAAAGAAAGCTTTATCTTTTGTAAAAAGAAAGTATTCAACTGAATACAGGCCAGCCATTTATAGAACGGTAAATGTAGTTTGAATAAAGCTAGGTTATGTTACTGTCATACAAATCAATAAAAAAAAACAGATTTTTTTTTATACCTATCTACTAACAAGATGAAATTGTGAATGGAGATGTGCATTGTGTCAAAGAGACAACACACCGACAACAGAACAGAAAACTGCCCAAGGCCATCGACGGGCCTTCAACACAGCGAGTTAACCCCACACACAGAGGCTGTCTTCAGCTGGCCCCTAACCAATAATGAGTACTAGCTCAGTGAAAATAGACATCGCACTAAACTCCAAAACATATAAATGAACTAAAATAAATAAAAACCAAACCACAAAACCAAATAATGTATATTTTGAATAATATCCAAATCAACTGCAACTAAATTTAATTATCACTTAACAATGAAGGCTGAAATTAAGCTAAGATTAAGCAAAGCATGAAGTTCACAGCAAGTTCACATTAAGTTCAAGAAAATGCCATTCACCTGCATCTACTCGAACTTAAGAAAAAGAAAAAAAACGTAGAAGTTCATTTGACTGCTAAGTGCTAAATCGGTTATGTATTCACTAGTTACATTTGCTTCCACACTGCATGCTGTCACATGATCAATTTAAAATTTCGTATTGTAGCTCAGAGCAACTATGGAACAAACTAAAGAGAAGCAACTACGGAGTTTGTTCGGAAACTACACCGACGCATCAACAGCAGACAAAGAAGTTGTTGATTACAGAAAACAAATGGTGTTGATAATGGTAAATAAATGGAAGAATTTTCATGAAAAAAAACCACCACATCCAGTAACAAAATCAATCAAATATAAAATTTACGCCACATTCTATATGTATGTGCCTGTCCCAAGTCAGTCGTTTTGTGCTGTGTTACATATTTTCTTTTTGTTATTTTTTGTATATTAATTAGGCCGTTAGTTTTCTCGTTTGAATTGTTTTATATTTGTCATTTCGGGGCCTTTTTAAGCTGACTATGTGGTATGGGCTTTGCTCATTGTTGAAGGCCGTACGGTGACCTATTGTGGTTGATTTCTGTGTGATTTGATCACCAGCAAAGAGTTGTCTGATTGGCATTCATACAAAATATTCTTGTAATATAGTGACAAAAAAAATGACTTTTCTTTTATGAATATTTCTGTTACTTAAGAAAGACACGATACTTAAATTTACACTAAATACCAATTGATTGATTGATGGTTTGCTTAATGTCAAGTTGCAAATATTTCAGGCATATTCCGGACAAGACCAAATACTTTTAGGTACTGTAATTGTTTTGAAAATTAAGAGTTTTACCGGAAAATGAAGATAAAGTTGATTAATCATTTTGAGATGGGAATGTTCTTTAAGTCTGACCTTACGATATGTCATTTTCACGTTGTGTTTGATATGCCTGTTTATGCCGCCATTTTTTGGATTTCATTGAACGCAGTCTTGAAATGATATATTTGATAACAATACTATTCAAACATTTGCAAAATTCTTTTACATTTTATTAATTTATTACTAAAATATTATGCCGGGAAATTCCTTTGTTTTTAGTGGGAATTAAATCAATTTTTGTATTCATTTATTTTATAGAGATTTCTTCATAGAGAAAATCCGCCAAAGGGAACCTTTTGGAGAAAGGTGGAAGATCTACATACTGAGATTGAGGGAAAGGAAAAAGAAACACGCCTTTCCCTCTACCAAGGACTCTTGAGGAGGGAGGAGAGAGAACAATAAAAAACTTGAAACTCATTGTTGTTGGACTATTTGGATTAATGTTTTCTTAAGATATTTAATCATGTTCGTACTCAAATGTGGACAGTTTTTAGGACCTTGCATAGTCTTGATGCATATATACTGTACAATAACATCTGGTTAACACATCAAATGGGTGAAATCTCTTCGTTCTAACTGTGCTATAATCTGGATAATGCACAGCAAACGTGTGCAACTTTAACTACCTCAAACAGGGCGAGGGATAATAAGCTGCAGATCAATTGTTTAGATGCGAATTGTCTTAAAAATTAATACAGTAGAAAAAAATTGAAGGGGGAACGGGGGAAGTCAAAGATTGAAAAGTGAAACATTTTTTTTTCTGTTTACTTAATATTTCAAATATTGGTAAATTTCTCCTCGGTTCACTTCCTCTAAGCATATTATTGAGGGAAAGAAAGTAAATTAATATACTCAATAACCCTTTCAGTTATGATTTTTCATACATCGATTTAAAAGTACACAAAACGGAACTAAAACTGTAGGAGATGTAGGTTGTACGTCAATAAGTCAGCAAGCAAATGACAAAAAAAAACCAAACTAATGACTACCAGAGGACAACGTATAGTATTGTTTTCAACAACAGATAGGCGTCCTACATTGTTCGGGTTATTTAGGGTCACCCGAGCCGTGCAGATTAAATGATGTATACAGACTTGCTTGGTTAATAACTATAATATGTAATTAACTTGAATATCCTTGTTAAAAATTGATGTGCATGTGCAATAACCTAGCTAACATTTCTTTTTATTCAAATTAGTATAAACGAATGATGCCTTAATACCCTAAAATTATTCAGCTCTTCATTCAAAATTGTCCTTCAACATTAAAACCACACAAATAAAAAGATAAGAAAACCATAAAGTCGGTTTACAATTTGTTCTCGTTGAATACAAAATACTGATGTTGAGTATTTCAAGACATTTCTTAAAAAAAAAAGATTTTTTGTAAAAAATTAATCAATTGTCAGATACCTGAAATACAATTTAATCACGAACATTTTAACTTTTTTGTCAAGTTCTCCCTGCATGCTTAATTTCATAACCAAAAAATCCTGAAAACATCATCCGTATTGATATGGAGTCAACATGGGTATCGTCTCCACAAAATACTCCATGGAAATACCCTGCAAATATTAGACATTACAATGTCAAAGGACAATGTCTGCTAGTGTCACTTTAAATGAGGTATCCCAAAAAATTGGTTAAACTGGGCCAAGAGATATTGATAGGTGTGTACTTTCTTAAAAGTAACTTTGCAAAATATAACCATACAAAATAGTCAATGTACCAGAAAAAAAACTTTGTATCTAGTAAGGAAATATGTGAACTTTACATTTAAGACTGGATTTGCAGTTTAAGTAGTTCAAACAAGTAAACTGTCTTATCATTATAACCACTGTTTGACGTTTAAACAGTAACAGTTCTGATATGGACTACTTTATAATCTATAGTTTAATGTGGTAATAAAAAACAAGGACATGTGGTAGGATTGCAATCTTTCAACCAAAGAACAGGAGTAACCAGTAATCATAATGTAATATACATTTGAGGTCAGCAAAAGTGTAAGTCCGCTACATTTATATGAGTCTGTCCAAAGTCAAAAAAGGACATAGTGCCATTGGTATGTAATTGTGTAGTTTAGCATTTACTTTACTGAGTGAAATTTTGTGTTGCACGTCAGAATAGTATTACCATTTTAATTTTTGTTGAAGCAAGTCGCAGCTTATTGCATGGCATGGACTACCTACTGTTAAAGACTGTGGCATTGTGACTTATAAATGAAATTGCTGAAAATCTGCTTTTCATACACATTAACAATGAGGATATAATATTGCATGGAAACTCAAATCTCTGTTAGTGTAACACTCCTTACCTTTAGGAGACACATCTGTTCTAGCTGAAGTGTCTATTTGAATATTCAACTTTAACATTAAAGCAGCAGCCAAAAATGAAACAAGATATAAACAAGGTTAATAAGATATATAAACAAAATGCAGCGTAAGCATGTGGTTCATCGAAAAAACTTTCAAGGCAAAATGGAAAGTTAAATGAAAGAATACTTAACAAAAATCATCTTACAATAGTATAGTTCTTAGATGACTTTTTGATTAGGTATAACATATGAATACTATTTCATTACTGAAAGTTGATTGAAATGTTCAGAACTGAAAAACTACTAAACTTTACAGTACTGAAAAATGACTGAAATATTCAGTACTGAAAAATGACTGAAATATTCAGTACTGAAAAATGACTGAAATTTACAGTACTGAAAAATGACTGAAATTTACAGTACTGAAAAATGACTGAAATTTACAGTACTGAAAAATGACTGAAATTTTCAGTACTGAAAAATGACTGAAATATTCAGTACTGAAAAATTACTGAAATTTTCAGTACTGGAAAGTGACCGAAATTTTCAGTACCGAAAACAATTTTGTCTCAACATTACTAAAAATGATATATAAATAAATGTACTGATTAGTGATGTTTCTTTAAAGTACTGTTTATATATCGGCATTTAATGTACTGATTAGTGATGTTTTTTAAAAGAACTGTTTATATAGCGGCATTAAATGTACTGTTTATATAGTGGTATTTAATGTACTGATTAGTGGTGTTTCCTAAAAGTACTATTTATATAGCGGCATTTAATGTACATGTAAACGTTAGGCAAATTGTTGGTAGTGTACTAATATAGCTGCATAGTTTGATGAAAATCCAAGTTGATTTGAAAAAGTTATAAAAAAAATTAAAGTGTACTGTCTGAAATGCTGAATTTTGTCCAAAATTGCAAATCCTAGCTTTTTTGACCTAGATTAAATTTGACAGCAATACACCAAACTACATAATGACCTTTGATTCAGTAAGATCAATATGTTACCAAGATAGCTGTATAGTTTGAGCAAAATCCAAGTTGATTTGAAAAAGTTATAAAATGATTTAAAGTGTACTATCTGAATATAGTCGGAACTGCAAATTCAAGCTTTTTGGACCTAGATTAATTTAATCCTTAAATTTGACATTAATACACCAAACTACATAATAACCAATGATTTAGTAAGATCAATATATTACTAAGATAGCTGTATAGTTTGATGAAAATCCTAGTTGATTTGAAAAAGTTATAAAAAAAATTAAAGTGTACTATCTGAATATAGTCCTTACTGCTAATTCAATCTTTTTTTACCTAGAAATTTGTTAGCAACACACCAAACTACATAATGACCTGTGATTCAGTAAGATCAATATATTACTAATATAGCTGCATAGTTTGATGAAAATCCAAGTTGATTTGAAAAAGTTATAAAAAAAATTAAAGTGTACTATCTGAAATGCTGAATTTTGTCCAAAATTGCAAATCCTAGCTTTTTTGACCTAGATTAAATTTGACAGCAATACACCAAACTACATAATGAACTTTGATTCAGTAAGATCAATATGTTACCAAGATAGCTGTATAGTTTGATGAAAATCCAAGTTGATTTGAAAAAGTTATAAAAAAGTTAAAGTGTACTATCTGAAATGCTGAATTTTGTCCAAAATTGCAAATCCTAGCTTTTTTGACCTAGATTAAATTTGACAGCAATACACCAAACTACATAATGAACTTTGATTCAGTAAGATCAATATGTTACCAAGATAGCTGTATAGTTTGATGAAAATCCAAGTTGATTTGAAAAAGTTATCAAAAGATTCAAAGTGTACTATCTGAATATAGTCGGAACTGCAAATTCAAGCTTTTTGGACCTAGATTAATTTAATCCTTAAATTTGACAGCAACACACCAAACTACATAATGACCTATGATTTAGTAAGATCAATATATTACTAAGATAGCTGTATAGTTTGATGAAAATCCTAGTTGATTTGAAAAAGTTATAAAAAAAATTAAAGTGTACTATCTGAGTATAGTCCGAACTGCAAATTCAATCTTTTTTTACCTAGAAATTTGTAAACAACACACCAAACTACATAATGACCTGTGATTCAGTAAGACCAATGTACTATCTGAATATAGTCGGAACTGCAAATTCAAGCTTTTTGGACCTAGATTAATTTAATCCTTAAATTTGACAGCAATACACCAAACTACATAATGACCTATGATTCAGTAAGATCAATATATATAACTAAGATAGCTGTATAGTTTGATGAAAATCCTAGTTGATTTGAAAAAGTTATAAAAAAAATTAAAGTGTACTATCTGAATATAGTCCGAACTGCAAATTCAATCTTTTTTTACCTAGAAATTTGTAAGCAACACACCAAACTACATAATGACCTGTGATTCAGTAAGATCAATATATTACTAATACAGTACTTGCAACCTTAGGCGTTACTATTTTAGCGATCAATCAGCGGTCATCGATCCGTCACCGATCAGTCAAGTTCGCGTCAAACTCACGTCACCAATCCGTCAGACTTATAGTAAAAATATTTGACTTATCGGACGGATCGGACGGATCGGACCGATTGACCTTTCTGACGGATTGAACTCTACTACGTCACATGATGAATTAATACAAATTACGGAATCTTAGTTTCGTTTCATTTAATCAAAATGGCGCCATGGGAAATACGAAACGTTCAAGTACAAAAGATCACACTTTTTTTTAGTAATTATTCAGCAAAGTTTTAAGAATTTAAAAAGAAAAGAAATATGCAGATAAAACTGATTTTAAATATCATTATAAAAGAATTGTGATTTTTGTTTTTATTTAGGTTAGATATATTCATACCCGAAGAGTGCTAAAACGGTTTTTATCACGATTGTGATTTTTTTTCCGAAAAAACATTTATTTTTTTTTTATCAAAAAAGGAAAAATTGGTAATTTTAAAAAATGCGAACAACATTTTAGTATATTTTCTATGATATTCTTACAATTTTTTGAAAAACAACCAATCCTGAACTACAAAAAGTACAAAATCCAATGGCAGTCAACAAATTTCATTAAAATAAAGAAATGACTGCATTCTTTTTCAACAAAAACAAAAATTTATGTATATTTATCCTTCAAGTATTCACATTTTATACAAAATTATTTATATAAAGGCATTTACAATGACCAATTGAATTTGACGTTGCATTATTTC